AAAATTTAATGATAACTGTCATTATCATGTCTCAATTCGACAGTTAAATTTTACTTATTTTAAAATTAAATATTTTTTTTCTTTATTATACTTATAAGTTTCCTTTCCTTATTTTAAATTTCATTTTATATGAAATATTGATTATTTTTAAAATAATTAAGGACGTATAAGAGTGAATTTTCGTAATTAAAAGAAATTATATATTTATTTTGTATTGAAAAAAAAATATACACATCTAAAATTTTTATAAAAAATAATGAAACATATTTTTTTCTTTTTTAGAAAAAATCTTAATATATATTTTAAAATAAAAAAATTAAAACAAAAAAAGAACAATTTTTAATCTATTTTTCTTTTTTAAAAAGAAGCACTATACCCATATTTTGTAATATTTTGTGTCTTCTTCCTTTTAATATATTTTAGATAAATGCAATAATTTAATAAAAATAAAAAAAAAAAAAAAAAATTCATTGTGGTTAATTTGAATCAGAACATCAATTATTGGTTTTATAAAAAGAAAAAATTTATTGTTGTACAAAAATTTAAGTATCAAGAAAAAAATGATATATTAAAGGATCATATATATAATTAACAATGTGATCAAAAAAGAAAAAAAAATTACGCAAATTCAAAATACAAAAATAATAAAAAAATTAAAATAAGAATTAGATTTATAAAAAATAAATAAATAAAAAAAAGATAAACATAAAAAAATTATTTTACTCAATATGAATTTTTTCTTTTTTTTTCATTAATAAATATTTAATATCCATTAAGTTTTGCAATAATACATATAATGTTAATTTTAAAAAACCTAAAAGGTTTTTCCTATTTAATATACATGCACTTTCAATTACATAACTTTTTTTCTTCGAAAAAAAAATTCATTAGATTGAATAAAAAGATATAAAAAATATAAAAAAAATAGAAATTTCAAATTTTATGAAAAAATTTATAATAAAAATGAAAAAGTAAAAAAAAGATTAAAAAGATTTTATTTTATTTTCACGTTTCTTCAATAAAATAATAAAAAAGGTTTTAAACATTAATATTGAAAATACATGGACTTAGTTATAGGTATTTTATGAAGATTTTTAACAAAGCAAAACATAAATTATAATTTTAAAATTATCTTTTTCATATTTTTTTATTTTTATTTTATAATTTTCTGATTTTATTTACTTTTTTTTTTTTTTTTCTTATATTAGAAAAATGAATCCTTTAAAAAGTACCGACAACGTTTGTAAATTGTGCTAAAAAAAGTATAGAAGATTGTTATATAAATCATTTTTCTTTTTAAAAGTATAAGAAAATATGGAACCTAATAATATAGCCATGAATGATATTACAAAAACACTTATATCTTCTCCAAATTCAACTGCAGAAAATGATAGAAATTCACCTGGAACACAGAATGAATCATTTGGCGCTTTCTACGTTTACCTTAGCCTTTCTATTATATTATTTTTTGCTTTTTTACAACTTTTTTCAGATGTAAGATAAAAATTTTATCTAATTGTATATTTTTTTTTTTTTTTCTGTGTATTTTTTAATTTTCACAATAGAAATTTTATTAATATAAAAAAATGTATTTTTAAAAAATTTTAAAATTGTGTTGTAGTCTATTGTAAAGAAAATGCAAGAACAATTTTGTGAATCAATGATGCTAGAAGGAAAGAATGAAGATGAGGTGAATGATAAAGAGATAGAAGAAGAAATGAAAAGAGAAGAAAACAAGAAGGAAGCAGGATGTAATATAAAAGAGGAATGGATAAAGAATGAAAGAAGTAAATGGATGAGACAATTAGAAAATGATTGGAAGGAATGGATGGTTGAGATAGAAAAGGAGAAAAGCAATTGGATTATAGAAAGGGAGAGTGAATGGAACGAATGGATAAAAAATGAGGAAAAAAAGTGGATTAATTGGAATAAAAGAATGGAGGACGTATTTGCACATAATGAGTGGGAAGAATGTATGGGATGGGGTAGAAATGAGTGGATAAAATGGATGGAAGAAAAATGGATGGAGTTCATGATAGGAAATTTTAAGGAATGGATAAAATCAAGTGAAGATTTTATGTTAAATTTGAAGAACACTAAATGGAAAAATTGGAAAGATAAAAAATTAATAGAGTGGCTTATGAAGGATTGGAAACAGAAGGAAGATGATTATTGGAATAATTGGGAAAAAAAAAAATGGAAAAGGTGGATTCTGATAAAAGAGAGAAAAAAATGGATGAAGTGGAAGGAAAGAATATATATGGAAAAAGCAGAATGGAAAAATTGGATAGAGTTAAAGGAGGAAGAGATGAATAATCAGGAAAAGTGGTGGGCTTGGATAAAATGGAAGAAGGAGAAATTGGTGTATTTGAAGAATTGGATGAAGTTGATTGAAAAGCAATGGATTAAAGAGGAAAGATGGAAAGAATGGATGAATAAAAGGGAAAATATGAATAAAGAAAAAAGTAATGGAAATGAAATTAATGAAGAATAAAGAATTATTAATGAATTACATCTAAACGTATTAATTTTAATTATTCATTATTTAATAATAGGGTTTATGCATATAAATCTAGAAAAGCAAATGAAAAGAGAGAAAATGAAACATAAAATATAAAATTTTCATTTTTTTATATGGAGAACTTTATTTTAATGCTTCACATAGAAAAAAAAAAAAAATAAGAAGCAAAAAAAAGGGAAAAATATGAAACATAAAAAATACTAAAAACAAAATTTTAGACTCAATGAAAAATATAAATTGAAGAAATCAGTACTAGTTCACAAGGATTTCAGGAATTTATACATTAAAAATATAATATTTTATATATATATAAACAAATGAGTATTATCATATAATATTTTGTTGTAAATGTAATTTATGTTATTTTTTCCTTTTATTTGATACAGTACTTTTTTGATATTAGAAAGAATTATTTTTCATAAATAATGTTAAATTTTTTTCAGAAGGCATGAAAACTCATTTTTATATGAGATTTTCCTCAATATTTTTCCATAAAAAATGCATAACTCAATTTATATTTATAAATATATCCTTTTCATATATTATTCAGATAGCTATTAATGTCTACAATGTCTTCGTAATTATTTTTTTAGTATAAAAAGTTTCATTTTATTGATACTAATTTAAATATTATTTTTATTAACACATATGTAAAAAACATCCTTTGGAATAAAATAATAATTATATTATATATTTATATATAGTTAATTTTTTTTTTTTAAAATTAATTATGAATAAAGAAATGTTTTTATTACCACAATTTTGACTTTATCCCTACTAATTATATAGACAAATATTTAGTTTCCATAAAATTAATAATTTATGATTATTTTTATTTTTCTATTAATACATTTATTATCATTAAATAAAAGTCTACGCTAAAAAACTATGTAAATCACGTTTTAATTTTTTTAATATTATATGAACATACCACATTGAATATATGTTGTGTTTATGTAGCAGGGATGTTCTTTATATTATATCCTTAATTTTTGTTAAAGTAGAAATATAAAATTTACGTAAATTATTAATTAATATTTGTAATACCTTTTCTATCTTTTTGCCATCCAAAAATTTATTATTTTCTGTTCTAATTTTCCTCGAAAAATATTTTTTTTTTTTCTTTGCTATTTTATATTTTTATAAATATATGTATCTTTTTCCTTCTTTTTTTATATTATTTTAAAAAATATATTTTTAAGCTCTTTTTAATTTAATGTAACATGCTATTGTTATATGATTTAAATTTAATATCAAAACTACCTTAATTAATAATAGTTATGACTTAATAGAATATTTCATTTTAAGTTAACTTTGAAAATTAAATTTTCATTATATTTTTCCTCTTAATGTAAATATAAATTTTAATATTGATGTTGCCGTTTAACGATAGCTTTTCCATTAATAATAATTTTTATTTTTATATAAGCTTAAACTTTTATTCACTAGTATTAGTATTTTATATTTACTTAATATCACACTGTAATACATTTTCATATATTCTTTATGCTTAGGATTTTTATTTATACTTTAACTTTTTATAACCTATTTGAATTACAAAATAAATTTCATATTATATTTTTCATGTTATCATTTATTTCAATTTTAAATTTAATATGTTTTTTTAAATTTTTATATAAATTTATATCTAACCATATGTTGATGTTACATGTTTTAGTATTCATATTTTACCCTCATCGTTATGTTCTTTATTTCATTGTACTTTTTATCTTTGCGTATCATTTATTTTTCAGTAAATTATTATTTAATCTACATCTTCACATAATTTTATTTACTTATTATCCCATTATTTTTTAACTGTGTAATTTATTCAATTTCATCTTAAATTTTGAATAATTTTAGTGGTTAAATTTTATGATATAATTATTATTGTGTATGTACCATTATTCATATTTAAACCTTTAAATTTTATAGAAATTCGTTAACTTTGTTATTTTACCATAAATATATGTCACTTTATTTTTCTATATATATTTATAATTTTATTATAATTAAAATTACTCTATAATTACATTTATCACAATTGTCATTATTACAAAAGATGTAATCACTTTAGTTAAAAAAGATTCGTATTAAATTTTTTCCTCTTTTTATTCTGTCACATTTTCATTATATATCTCATTTTATTTTATAATATGCATATAATCATTTTTTTTTTTTAACCAGAAATAATTTTTATATTAATTTTGTATATTTTTCTATCAAAATAGTTATTTTTTTTCTTGATGCTGTAAGTACTATTCATGGAATATATATTTTTTTCTTTTTTAAATTTATCAAAATATAAACATTTTTATTTACTTAACATTTTACTATATATTTCACTTTTTTTCAAGCATTTTTATTAATATAAATAAAAAATGAATTTATCATGATATCTTTATTATTGTATTCTAAATTTTTAACTTAATATTTTACTATAATAAAACATCTAGTTATTCCATATTTTGTCAATAAATGATATTATCACTTACTTAAATTATAATGAATAGGTATATTAAATTAATGAATTTTTAGCTGTTTTTGGAAGATGTACAAGGAGAACATACAAATTAAAATTAGTGCAATAATATTATGTACAAAAAAATTATTATTTATATATATTTATTTTTCTTATTTTTTGTATATACATTAATAAAAAAAAAAAAAAAAAAATACATTCTTTTTTTGTGTGGAAATGAGTAAAAAAAAAAGATTATATAAATTAATAAATAAATGGTAATATTTTTTATTTTTATTTATTTTTTTTTTATTGTGAATATGTAAGGTTATAAATGTGTAATAAAATTTATTTTACTAATAGATTATTGTGAAAGTCAGCTGAAATAATAAATATTAGAATAGATATTTAATTTAATTTTTGGATTTTTTGAGACATCAATGGAATATCTAGGACAAATTGTCAATCATAAAGGGATTAAATCCATATCAAATAGAAAAAAAGAAATTAAAAAAAGACGAAAAATCTAAATCTATGAATCAGATGAAATCATTTTTAGGAGTAACTAATTGTTGTTGAAATTGAATTTATAACTATTCTAAATGGGTTTCTAAATTGATTCCGTAATTATGTAAAAAGGAATCGTTCATACATAATAAAGTGTGTTTTGAAGTGTTCTAACAATTAAAATAAAAAGTAACTGATATGACTTACTTATCTTTTCCAGAGGCTGATGATACCTATGTCATTTATATTAGCACATAGTATTATTCTATAAGAGATCTATTAATTTAGGTAGATGGTACTTCCAAATTAGATATACGCATTATTGATCAAGAAAGTTTAATCATGTCTACCAGGGATGGAGTACAGTAAAATAAGAGTTATTTTCAATAGTTATAGCTTTTAAACATTTTATTATTATATTAGAGGATCAAAGGCGTTCATTAAAACGAACCTAAATGAATTATAGTGATAGACCTTATTAATACAGGAAAATAATATATATGGAAATTACAACTATCTGAATTTCGTTTAAAATTTCAACACAACGAAGGAATTCAAAATAGATTAGGTGATTTGATTACTATGTTAACAGATCAAAAAATTGATCTTCTAATTATATGACTCTGTGTTGAAATAGGTCATAAAATAATATGACAATCCTTACTCTATGTCTTTTTTTTAAAAAATTGCTATCTCTACTCTAGAAGATAGGGATGATATCCCATGATGTGTAAATGAAGGCGCAACTTCTCTATTCATTATAGGTTAGGAATGTTATATATATGATTTATTAATTGTTTGTTCAATGATTTGTTAGTATCAAGCAAACAAATAAATAAAGGGTTTAAAAATTCTACTTAATTTAATTTTAATTTAATTAAAATTTTAATCTAAAAATCTTTATTTTTATTAATTAATATCAAATACCAAATATTAGTTAATTATTTTTATTAATGTTAATTTATATAACATCCTAAAACATAATTTCCTTAATATTGCATTTTAACTCTAAAAAAAAGGAAATAATAAAAAAAAAATATTACGATAATAGTTTTTTTTTATGTTCGTCATATACCAAAAAAAAAATATATTTGTTTTTTTTTTTTTTTTTTTTATAATTTTAAATGCATACACACAAGAGAAAATTTATTTATCTATTTTTTTTTTTAATATACTTAATTTTATTACAAGTATATATTTTTTGAATAACTATTTTAGGGTACGCATTTGCAATTACATATTTTACCCATAATACAGCATGAACAAAATAAATTTTTTTATTATATTTATTTATCTAAATGTTATATAAGAGAGATCTATAATATTCCTTATAGAAAAGTTACTGATTTATTAATTTCCCCTTCAGTGAATTTGCTAGAGTGTTGATTAAACGAATTATAACATTTTTCAAAATGAATATAACGATCAATATGGAAAATATGTAATTAGATATGCAAATACTAGGTATAAAAAAATTATTTGTTAATTATTTTTTTTTTTTTGTAAAATTATGTATACAAAAAAATGTATTTATTTTTTTTTAAATATATAAATTTTAAAATTGATTGGAAAGAAAATAATGATCATAAAACTTAATTTATTGATGAGAGAACTTCCTCGTAGTGAATTTTTATTTTTAATTTAATGAGAAAAATTTTATATGAATAGTAATAACATTTTCATGTTTGTGATATTTACATAATTTAATTTGTATTTCACTAATTACTCATGTTAACTTGAAAACAGCAAACTTAAATTGCTAAACATTATTCATAGCATTATAAGTAAAATTTATGTAATTAAAATCGATAATAATGATTTAAATTTTTAATAAAAATATAGTATTTTTACTAAAATAAATGCTTCCTGAAAACAATAAATATTCAACGAAGTAAACTACATAAATACAGATTACTTATTTTATAGAATTTAATAATTGATTTATTAACTGAGTGTTCGGTGACTTTATTAGAGTAAAGAACAAGCGAATTAATAAAGAGCATGT